TAAATGTTAATTAAAAATTTTAATTAAATAGAGATTTATGTTATGTAATATACATTACATATGTAAATCACTTAAATTTACTAAATTTTTTTTAAATTGAAATACACTTTACTATAATGGTTCTAATTGATATGAAATACATAATTTCGACATTGATTTATAAAAATTATTAACAGGGAATATAAGTTCATGCTTTTGCATCTTAGGAAACTATATTAAGTGAGCTACAAATTCATTTCTGAACAATTTTAATAAAAATATGAAGTTTAACAATGAATATTTTGGGTGTTTAGGCATATTTGTCATATAATTGGTTTTTTGAAGCTATTCCTGCATATTATTTCCCATAAATTCAGAATATACTTTTTTCAACAATGGTAAAAAAATACTAAATATATAATTCTTTAAATCATTTTTTTTTCATTCCTAAAACGTCAGCAACATTTTAGTACCTATTTTTGTAATTGTAATTTCTATTCTTTTATAATATTGATTGGGTTTTATGTATTCTAAGCATTTTAATGGAATGTTTATTAAGGTACTAGTAATGTTTATTACTAGTACCTTCAGCTGTTCAAACATGTGTATTTCTATCTATTCATTTGTTAAAAAAATTTTAAGAATCTAAATCTAACTGAAGAAATAAATGGTAATAATTTATTGTATTTTAAATATTATTATTTATTTATCCTACTTATTTCACCAAATATAACTTTCAATGTAAAAAAATTATTTGTTGACAATCATTAATAAAACACTGATAGTAAGAAGTATTATTTAATTTTTAGATTAAGTATTATATTTTTTTTATAATCATAGTTGAGTAGGTACAAAATTTACTCGAATATTTCAGATTTATATTTATAGTCATTTTTTTTATGATTAAAATAAAAAATAGAAAAAAATAGTTTATTGGTTTTTACTTAAATGTTATAGTTTATAATAAAAAATAAATTACATATTTTAAATATATGAATTGTTATTTTAAAATAATCTTAGGTTTTTAGTTATAGGCCTTAGAGGTCTAAGCATCTCCTTAGTTTACAAATTGGCCCCCCCAAAATTTAGAAGTATATGCATTGTTTTACAAAATTTTTTAGAAGGGGAATAATTAAATGATAATGTTTNCCCCCAAAATTTAGAAGTATATGCATTGTTTTACAAAATTTTTTAGAAGGGGAATAATTAAATGAATAGTCTACTGTATTTAGTGCATATTTGCATGCCTTTTTCGTTTGTTTTTTATTGCATGAACTGCAGTTATATATTATCGCTCTACTCCAAATAGAAAAATCTGAAATTCCCGCCAATAGACAAGTATTGTGTTCCACACTTAATTAAGATTTATTTTTGAGACTTAATTTTCAAAAGTTCACACAAAGTAATATTTTTAATATTATTGTGCATAACTATTGTACAATACTACTCAAATGAGGCACTAATGCTACGCTGCGTGCAGAGACCTTTGGACTTAAGATAACATTCAGCAACATGTTATCTTCTCAAATCACCTTCGACGGTTCCGTATTGTCAATTAAAATCGTAAAAAACCAGATAGTTAACAAAAAATAATAATAATAATAACCTAACTAAAGACAATAAATGTCCATTATCGTCCTCATCTATCCACCGAAATCATTATCTACTATCAACATAAAGAAATAAAAGTTATTCATAACTTCAAACCGCTATTTTATTCATTCTACTGAAGGACCTAACGTCAACAATAATATATTTAATGGCCCTAATCAGGAATAACCGGATACCAACAATAATGCATAAAAAAACATACTACTATCACCTATCTTCATTAAAGGTGTTCTTGACTTCATAAACTTGCGAAAAAGTTTTATCTCGATCATTGTCCCAGACACCTTTTCTTGTAAATTAACAACGAATCAACTCAAAATCCATACAGATAACATGGATAATTACAGGAAGCTAATACATTTCCTAAAAGATATTAACACCCAATATCACACCTATTAGTTATAATCCAACAAATCTCTAAAAGTTGTTATTAAAAATGTACACCTATCCACCCCAGTAACAGATATAGTCTAGAATAAATAGGCCACACTATTAAAAATGTTATGAACATCTACTTAGAAAATAGACACTTTTTATCATACGATCTTCCTATTGTTGCAGCACCTTTGTTATATAATCTTTTCATCTTGGATCAGCTCACTACACCATACACCACTACCACTGACGATAAAGCTCTCCTAGCCCTTTGATGCCAATCCTGCAATGGCCACAAATCTTATTCAAAAACATCTCAATCTGTTATCAACTTGATACAAAGAATGGGGATTAAAAATCAATGAGACAAGATCCATCCATTACTCTAAAATGAACAGTCTGCCCATATATTTACTTCAATAACATATCCCTACAAACCACCCAAAATATCAGATACCTGAATCTACACCTAGACTGCCACCTTACTTGGATAATTCATTCCAAAAGTCTCGTTTTAAACAACTCTTCTGTCAATCACGTTTCCTTCTTACATTACAACACTTCAATCTCAAAAATAAACTTTTTATAAACAAATTACTCCTCAAACCAATTTGGATATATGGCATCCAGCTTTAAGGACCCCTCAAATCATCCGACATCAATAAAATACAAAACTTCCAAAACAAATGCCTCCACCAAATAACAAAAGCCCCATTTTAAGTCTTCAATGATACCTCCCATAATCTCTCCATACCAAAATTCCAAAAAACTGCTAAAACATTCAACAAACGTTCACACTATAAAACATTAAACCATCAAAACCCCCTGATCTCTGATCTATCTGTCCACTCTATCCCTGGTGACCCCAGAAGGCACCTAAAGCGTTACAACCTATTGGTTCACTAATCTATGATTACACCGTCATGAAGTATCAACATTGATTGGCCTCTTCTACCAAGCCTACTATCTCTATATATTATTTTATATAGTAGCATAAACATCATTTGTGCTATTGTAATAAAATTTATAACAGATTAAATGGCTAGCGTTGAAATAATCATTCTATATACATGTATGTATTATTATCATTGAAGTTTGATGGTAAATTGGATGTTAAATTATATCCAAAATTTCAAGAAAATATTTATAATAAATTTTACTTAAAACTTACTTTTTTGTACTGGCAATGTTGACTGCATCATATTCCAGTCATTTATAAATAATTGAGTATTTCTAATACTACTACTATATAACTGTTTATGTAGCAGAAAATTATACTTAGAAACTACAGCATTTCTACATTCGATAAACTTGACATAATCATTCCAACAAAATAACCTATCTTCTATTTTATTTGTTCTAAAAACAAAAAAGTACATCTATTTTTCATTCATTAAAATTGCATGCGAGTTTGAGAAATGACATCTGTTATGAGATTATGTAACAGAATAAAAATAATAGCCTTTTAAAATAATAGTTACTAGAATGGCTTTGATAATTGGATAAAACTGGTATTTGGATTGTACAGTTGCAAAAAAGAACACATATACAAATTAATATTTTTTTTTAATTTTGGGTTTTTCTATTTAATTGTTATAAAATTATCAAAAAAAGACAAAATTACAGAAGAATTTCTTTTTGGGCATATTTTTTTTTTCAGTTGGATGACATTGGTTTTTAATGTATGAACTGACAACTTTTCTATGAATTATTATTTTTCAAGTTAATTTTCTTTGAGAAAGAATATAAATCTCTCTTTAATTAATTACAAGTTAGTCAAACTATAAAATTACAAAAATATTACATATTTTTAAGTTATATTAAGTAACAATAGTTATTAATATCTTGCCTAGTTTGATAATTTTACATTTTATATTTTTGATGAAAAAATATATTAACCTGTTAACATTGTCTGCAAATCTAGACGAGAATTCTTCAGAAATACCATCAAGACAAAATAAAAACTTAACAGCGAAAAGTATATAGGACATAACACTAATTTCAGGATCAGGTAAAACTCTTTTGAACTCCATGTTAGGTGGTATTAAAAGCAGTAGTTTACAAACAAATTCAGTGACACCAACTATAAAAATATGATTAAATTATAAATAGATAATATAAGGCTTATCTCAACTAAATTATTAAGCGAAATAGCATTAAGTGATAATTAATTTTATTGAAATATTTATTAATTTATAATACCAGGAAGTTGTAACTCATCACAAAATCGGTCAGCAAGCTTTTTAAAGTCAATTGAAGGTAGTCGTTCAGCTTGTAAATACCGCAATAACATGGCTAATTCCAAATGCAAACTATGCCTTGATGTATTTCGTAACATAGCTGATAATGGAATACTATGGTGTACATTTGGAGGTAAAAAAAGATTAACACGATTTACATGAAGATGTCCTTCATAAATCCATCTAAAAAAGAAAATACTTTTTCAAAACTAATATATTTTAATATTATACACATATTGATAGTCATGTATTTTAAGGGGTATACAATTCAGGATTGTCTATAATTTTCAAAGATACAATATAGTTAAAGGTTAAACTCGACAAAATTAGGTAATACTAATTTTTAGATACATATAAAATAAATCATTGGTTAAATGTCAACAAATAGCACACTTTTATACAAAAAATTACCTAAGTAAATCTGATAAGTAAATATCATCTTTATTAATTAATAATCCTAAACGAATGATAGTAATTAACTTTTTTAAAGTCAAATGGTTTTTTTTATCTTTAAATTTTATGTTCTCCCATGATTTTTGAACGTTTTTTAAGATAGGTTTTTCATCATTAGGAATAGATTCACAATCCATCGAGTTCAATGCTTTTTTCATAGATGAAGACAATTTAACTCTAAAAAATTTAAATTAACATTGACAATACAAAACATTTAAATCTTTGACAATGTAACTTACTTGACTTTACCAGATTTTAAACTTCTTTGTAGCACACTGATATCATCAGACATGATAATCGAATCAGTATTAGAAGTTCTTAGAGAAAGATCTAATTTACCCAATCTACGATTAATCTAAAAGTAATCAATTGAATTAAAAATACTTCATTTACAAAAAAATGTATAAAAATTATATCATTACTCTATACCGCTGTTGACCTTGTGATAACGGAATGGATGAAATGTTAGACTGATTCATTGAATTTGCAGAAACAGATGTTCTTGTTCGAAGTTTTACTCTTTTACCACGTACTTTATATACATGTTTTGGTCCTAATAATCTTTTCTTTAAATTTTTAATCCCATATAAAATTTCACCATCACTTGGATCAACACATTTTTAAAAATAAAACTTAAGTTAAAATAAATGTTAAATAATAAAATCATTTGATTTCAATAAATTTTTTTACAGAAAATAGTATACTTATTAAATTTTTACTAGATGTCTAAATAAATATTTTGTTTAAAATTTAAAAACAGATTATCATTGTAAATTATTTTTTTTTAGTATTATTTAATAAAACTATTATCATTANAAAAAAAAAAAAAAATGAAAAAACTCGATGGGGTGGTAAAATGCATTTGTTCCTTTTTTTGTATTATTTAATAAAACTATTATCATTAACATAATGAAATAATAAAAATACACTTTAAATATTTTTTAAAGCAATATTCATAAAAAACTATTGGAAAAGCTCTAATATTCAGTAAGAATCTTATAAATATTGAGATAAGTATACGTTACAATTTTAATTTATACTAAGCTTATAAATTTCACATGCAATCCAATTTAATCTAAAAGAAAAATGCTTTAACAAATAATTAAATTAATACAGTCACATACGTATCAATTATAGAAGTATTTAATTTAGGAAATTTTTTTGATTTTTTTGATATGAATGCAGCTTCAATTACTTGCAAATATTGAACCCATATTTGCAATATTGTAATTTTCAGTGATGGTTTTGCACCAAGTTCTATTACTTCTTGTGTAAGTCCTAGTAATATTAAATTGAAACATTCCCACGACAGTAGTTTTTTGTTAGTACTCAATTGAGACCCAGTTGTTATTTCATAATCTCTATTTTCACTTTCATCGGGTCCATTTCTATTATTTTCACCATAATTTACTTGCACTTCTCTTACAGTCTGTTAAATTAAAACTTTGTGAATAATTTACAAAAATTATTGTTCAATAATCATAATGACACATATCATTATATTTATCATACTGATAATTTAACTTAAATTTTATGGATTATAATCGAATTTAATACTACAATAAAAATATTTTAGATCTAAATAATAGTCTTATCTCTAATTTATCATTATGAATTTCAAAATTAATTTTTAAAAGACAACTCTTTAATTNTCTTATCTCTAATTTATCATTATGAATTTCAAAATTAATTTTTAAAAGACAACTCTTTAATTTTAGGCGCAAGATATTCATACTAAATAATTACAAGTAGTATTTTGAGTTAAGAATATGGACAGAGATTTTAATGTGATATATTATTGTTGTTTTATTTAAGGAAAAATAATTACGAGAAAAGGTATTTAATTAAACAAAAACAATAAAATTGTAGTCTTCAAATCATTATTAGATGATTCAAATAATTTATAGCAGTTCTATAATTGTAAGTTAATACAGCCTTATAATATTAACTTATACATAATAAAATTTAGCTAACCTGAGACTGAATACCACATTCATTACATACATAAGCACCATCGATTACAGTGAATTCATCACCACCACATATATAACAAACATTATTCTGCATTATGAGTAAATTAATATGTAGTTTA